TGATGGTGTATAAAATTGATTTTAAGATAAAAAAATTAGACGACAAAGAATTAACTTGACGGAGCTCAAACTCAAAACACACGGCAGCAACAAAACTGCCCCGTGAGTCAGGGGTCAGGGGTTGCCTCAATGAAATCACATGTTGTCAACAAACATAGCACCACATCGCACATGTCTGCAGTGTGCACAGAATTCTGTCTTCACGCACACACAAGCTGACAAGAGGAAATAATTGCACTGACAATCAAAACACAATCAAGCCCTGACAACTAGGCACTCCTGTCACCCTAAGAACCAATTGCACTGTCATATAACTTAATACCATGAAACCCCTAGTGCTAAACCGGTCACCAATTCACCATACTGTTTCCTTATGCCGATAATGAAATCATCACCCTGGCAACCAGTGTTGTTACCATGACAACCCAGAGCCGAAACGGTTTCACAACCAGTCATCACAGGGTTTTGGCAGATATCACACTCAACCAATGACTTTTAAAACTCATAGTTATAAGAGACAAAGACTGACGGAAATGGGAATGCCCTACACTACAGAGTGTGTCTGAAAGACTGCTGTAACTAGTCATAAAATCCCACAATCCTTTTGACTGGAAGTGAGTCGAGACACTTGTTCTGGAATGTCCTGATCACTAAATCGCTCTTCATCAGAAGAATACAGTTTAACTAAGTATCATTTATTTATCTACAATCTACTGATTTTTTTTTTTTTGGTTTTTATATCTAACACTTTATGAATATTCAGGAAACTATAGAAGCTTGTTTCTGCCAAGGAATAAAAAAATAATATATATATATATAAAAGGTAAATGAGACTTATTTCATAATTAAGAATTTTTTCTTAAACAGTTTATATCTCACAACTACAAGTTATAGACTCGCCATAAAGGCTTGTTCAGACCAAGCACGATAACTATAAAGATAACGATAAAGATATAGTTCTAAAAATCGTTCTCAATATTAAAGAATAGCAGAGTCCACACCACACTTTAACGATAAAGGCACAGAGAAACGATATCGTTGAAATAATTTTCAGAACGATTTTTTCCAGCTGATGAACGATAAAAACATTGACAGTCAATCAGAATCAATCCTGCTATCACGAGCTCACGGCAATTTAAGCCCCGTTCACACCAAGAACAATAACTATAAAGATAACGATATTAGCGTCCACACCAGCGAACGATATTGTCTGTTTATTCTAAGCGCACATGCGTCTGCCGCTTTAAATTCTCATACTCGTTACAGCAGGATGGATTCTGATTGGCTTCCAATCGATAATCCAATCAAGTTAATTCCAATAATTCCAATCAAGTGATTCCAATGATATTGTTTCTCTTTGTCTTTATCGTTATAGTTGTGGTGCGGACTCTGCTATTCTTTAATATTGAGAACGATTTTTAGAACTATATCTTTATCGTTATCTTTATAGTTATCGTCCTTGGTGTGAACGGGCCTTATGCCGAGTTCACACTGCACGATTTTCGCCCGATTTTTCATGCATAATCTGTTTTTCTTTTCCTCTTTGTAGCTGGAAATCAGCTCACAGACAATTTGCGGGCTATATATATATATTTAAAATAATTAGTCTTGCTCGCGAGAACTCCGGTCTGACGCACGCGGGTTCTCCCGTTATTTCCTTATCACTTCTCGCGTGTGTTTTGTTGTGAAACGTAGTTTGCGGACCAGACAGAGCTGTCGGCGATTCTTCATGACAGTGAAGTCATGCAGTGTGAAACCCCCTGTCGCCGATCCATCGTGCAATGTGAACACAGCAGCAACTGAATGCTACCCCAGATAGTCACGCAGTGTGAAAACAACGGCGATACGACGAGTTTGAAAATCGTGCAGTGTGAACTCGGCATTAAGGCTTTTCTTCTCAGAATTGCAAGAAAAAAGACTTAATTGTGAGGTATAAAATCTGATTTGTGAGAAAGTATGAATTTTGAGATATAACTCAGAATTGCAAGTTAAAGTCAAAACTGTAAAAAAAAATTGTGAGATAAAAACTCACAACTGTGAGATATTACCTCATAATTGTGAGAAAAAAAGTCAAAACTTGTATGACAAAGTCAGAGTTGTGAGAAAAATAAATCTGAATTGTGAAATAAAAAGTCACTTTAAGAATTGTTTTATTTTTTATTTTTTTTATCCATGGCGGAAATAAAAACTGTGAGATATTACCTCATAATTGTGAGAAAAAAAGTCAAAACTTGTATGACAAAGTCAGAGTTGTGAGAAAAATTAATCTGAATTGTGAAATAAAAAGTCACTTTAAGAATTGTTTTATTTTTTTTATTTTTTATCCATGGCGGAAATAAGCTTACATAGGAAATGATTTCCAAAGGAATAAGCTTCCATTCATGGAGGACAATAGTCTAATAAGCACCTTAATTAGCAAATATTATTAAACCCCATTTACAGTTAATATTTTTGTGCTTTGCATCAAGATTTTAGTAGTATTTTTCTGCAAAAATTTCACTCAAATTTTTCCCATAACAGAGTTACTCTTATGCTTGTCGAGTGTAAACGTAAAAAAACAGCAGGCTGCAAGACTGCAAAAGAAATTAACCTCTGTACCAGGTGGTCAACAAAAAAAAGATGTCTGAAAGTGCAAACCATTATTCTTGAACTCGGGGAGAAAAGGTCACAGCATAGCAAAGTGCAGGGACAAAGACTTTTTAAAAACTGCATGGACTGTGAAAGCACACTATTTTATTTTTAATAAAAGCAAAATTTGTAAATAATATATTTTTTTTTATTCAATAAAACCCAATAAAATTAATGATTTTATACACATTTTAATTGAATTTATTGAAATTGCATTGCACACTAAACAGAGTAAATATAGTACAGTATAATGTGACTAAGTTCAGTAAATAAAATATATAATTAAATATATCAGTAGAAAGTCATAAGAACACATCTGGCATGCAAATGGGACTGTTTCCTGTGGCCAAGATAATGTGCCTCCATAAAATTTTTAATATCAGGAGGATTGTGAAATATAACTGTGGCTGATACATCTAAACCTCACAATCCCTAGAAAAATTAAAGCCCTGCAGATTTACACATTTTTAATTTGAATCCATAGAACATAAAATGACTGTTTGAGATTGTTTTCAATGTATTATATTCATTGTTTTTTTCATTAGAATACTTTTTAATATATTTTTATATGTCTTTTTGTCATGAATGTGTTTATGAATGTACTCACTTCTCTGAAGTCATGATGTTGCTCTTTTCCTGCTGACAGACTGTGTCATTGATTGTCTTTATTCTCTTGTTCTCTGCAGTACATCATGTACAAGACAGAGCCTCACTCATCTCGAGGTTTGACTGACAGAGAGACAGAGAGAGAGAGAGAGATTGTTTATGTGTGATATGCAGGTTAGAGCTGACAGTGAATGATACACAATGTTAATGTGATCGTAGAGGAGGGAAAATAGCTCTTCTTCTGACATGTGAATCATCACACACACGTCTTTCATTCTTACAGAAGACAAATGTTCACTCCAGGAACAAACCATAACACACACACACACTGTCACACAAACACATAAATAACCTCACATGCTTTATGACTGGCCTAGTCTTTATTTTTGCATGGTGCTCTGAAGCTAATATTTTTAATTAGTTTTTTTTATTTTTATGCTTTCACTTAAATTTTAGTTTAGTTTTAGCTATTTTGTCTTTTTTAAAATGGCTATATAGTTTTATTAATTTTCATTTATTAGTTTTTATTTTAGTACTTAAAGTTAAACAAAAAAAAGAGAAATGAGAAAATAAAATATGTTTTGAATATATTTTTTTACTTATATATATATATATATATATATATATACAATTAAAGAGAACATATTAGATTTAATATGGGCTGCTTTTGGTGCTTGACACTTTTTTTTATTTGGCATTTTGTGTTTCATATATATATATATATATATATATATATATATATATATATATATATATATTTTAGCTACAGTCAGATAACGGTCACAAAATACAACCCATCAAGTTTTAATTTTCAGTTTGCTGTGGCAGCTTACAATTTCTTTCAACTAAAAAAGTCAAAAGAAAACCTTTTCAACCTCCTCTTCGGTAACTTTACGATGTCTCATTTGTTAATAATGTCTCATTAATGCATTAGTTAGCAGTAACTATGAGCAATATGTTTTACAGCATGTATTAACCTTTGTTTAAGTTAGTAGTTAATAAAAATACAATCGTTCATTGTTTGTTCATGTTAGTTCACACTCAGTCTATTTAAAGCAACGTGTATGTAGGTTTTTTACCTTTAAATATCAGTTTCAAGGTCATTCTGATGGTACAATGACGTCTTATGAGGCGAATGGCTTCTGTTTCTTTACCAAATGTCTGTTCTGGAAGTATACAAGTTTGCTGAGCGGGTACGAAATTCTGCGAAAAGGGCGGATTGCTTTACGGCAGCAACAAACGCATGTGTACAGGTGCAGCTGTCCACCGTAATTACGAAAGTGATATATTTACCACAGTGAATTCTACTCACTTAACTGTAGGGGGCTCCAAAGTCGCAAAAAAACCCCACAAAACTACATACAGTTGCTTTAACTAATGTTAACTTTTGATTTGAAAATGTATTAGTAAATGTAAATATAAAATTTTACTTTTTAAACTTTTTTTTTTACTTTTAAATTTTTAACGTTTGATTTGAAATACTAAATGTAAAAATTAACATTAACAAGGATTAATAAATGCTGTTGAAGGATTGTTTTTGTTAGTTCATGTTAACTAATGTAGTTAATGTTAATAATGAAAACTTACTGTAAAATGTTACCTCCTTAAGGGAAGCACACTTTGTTTTCAGAAAATTCATTATACACACAAGCCTACTATATAGTCACAATAGCATGTAAAATGCAATTTATTTTGTACATCTGAAATTTCTACAACTCATTACTTTCAATCATTCTAATAGATCAGAACATAACGGTAGTTATGACATGGGCTGCGGGAAATATAAGCAGTCTGGTAACAGTCTGTGTGTGAGTTGCTCTTGAGTAATGTATCCTGACATCATCCATTATTACTGTAGGTGAAGCTGGAGACAGAGCTGTGTTAGGTTACGTTACCTGCCCAGTGTCAGCTTACTGCGGAAACAACGTCCAGGTGAGCAGCACGCACACTAGCTCATGGACCAGAAAACTGAATAGGAATTCAAACTGATTTAGAAGTGAAGAAAGAAAGAAAAAAAGACAGCTTAAAGGGACATCATGAAGGTAAGTAAATATTTGTCTTCAGTTTTTATCATTATTCATCTCCATTGGCGCTAATGGCCTGTTTGCACTGTTCTAGAATATTCTGGTCTCTATATCCAGCATTTGTTGTGTTTTGGAAACTGAACCTCAACATGGACAGGTTGTTAACTGCTTAACTAGCACAACCAGCAAGACTTTATTTGTCTGCAGCACCAGAAATCATGCAGATTAACTAGAATGTACTTGCCCATGCTGGATCACCAGCTAGACAGCACAAAACCAACATAAACGATTTTCATGCTGCATGGTCTAAAGTGGTCCTTTTAGGGATTAGAGATTTAACAGTATGTGTATTTGATTTGAAAATAATAGTAATAATAAAATAGCAACTGATTATATCAGGGATGTTCATACATTATTAGTGGCAAATAATAATAAAGAAAAAATCTAACTTTTTTGTTAAATAAAAAAAATGTGATTGATAAAATAAAAAATGTATGACCCTAAAACAAAATAAAAATGAATCTATAAATTTATGAATGTTAAATTAATTTTAGTTTTTGATACATATACCCTAAGTATATCGTAAAAGTATGGTACCTGGACATAGTAAACATAAAAAGTAGTCCTGAGAAATGTAATGTTGTTATACATATTTTAAATATCTAACAAAATATCAGTATCTTTACACATAAACACTGATAGCCCTAAAATATTAAAACTAAAAACCAAAATAAAATAATATATAAAGTATAAATAAAAATAAATTTACTGAAAGACTGAACTGAAACTCAAACCTAAGTATTTAACTAAACAAAACAACCTAGCAACCACCCAGACATTCTAGCAACACCCTAGCAACCACCAAGACCATCCTAGAAACACCCTAGCAACCACCCAAAACATCCTAGCAACCAAGTTACAACAAGACCTAAAATCATGGTGTCAAGTTTTGCTTGCGCAAACACCACTCTCATATTCTTCAGAAAATGTAAAAAATCCACTATTCCAGTAAAAATACTATTTCCGTCTTTCTACTTCAAAATGTCATGTTTAACTTATTGTTCTACTTGTAATTTCTTTGTAATTATTTGTGAAATTTACTACCAACTTCTGAGTTGAAACAAAAAGCGTCAAAGTAAATCCTACACCAGATATTTTTTTTCAGAGTAGTTGTTGCTATAATTTGGTTACATTTGTTGTTGGTCTCTCTCTCTCTCTCTCTCTCTCTCTCTCTCTCGCTCAGATCTGTGTGTTCCGGCTGCAGACTCATCAGTGGTGCTTCCTGTTGTGTAACGTCATCTTGTTTCATGCGTTGCTGTTTGGTGGTGACATAGTGGAAGAGTTTCTCCTGCAGTCGTCTCCCGCCGCCTACACCGACCGCTTTGTCCTGGAGGTCCGGGAGCGTGCACGCAAACTGGACCTGACTGAGACCAGGCTCAACACTTCACAGCTCTACCCCATTAACACTGAACCCTGCCTTCATCATCAGGACCTCCTTATCCTCACGCTGGTCCTGAGTTCCCCTGGAAACTGGAGCCAGAGGGAGGCGATGCGAAACTCCTGGGCCAATCAGACGTCGGTGCGCCGCGTTGCCGTGCGGACTTTGTTTTTCATTGGCCCCTCTCCTTTAGGGGTGGAGCTTGAGATGATGAGGGAGGAGTCTGCACGCTATGGTGACATTGTGCAGTTCGAGGGAGGTGTTTCCAGGGGCGACTGGCAGAGAGGACACTGGGAACAAGTTAAAATGGCGCTTCGATGGATCCTACTTTTTTGTCCACAAGCCCGATTTATCGTTCTTTCTGAGGATTCTGTGTATTTAAACCTTCCTGCGTTTACATCATACCTGCTAGGACTGAGAACGCACCCTGATGAACTTTACCTAGGCAGGGTCATCCATCAAGCCGCACCTGAGCGGGACCCCGACAAACCGCATTATCTGCCCTATCAAGTGTACCCTGATAAGTACCTCCCAGACTACTGCTCTGGCCCTGCCTTTCTTCTATCTCAAGACGTTGTAAGGAAAGTTTATGTCGCTGCTGAGGATGTTTCGTTGCCCCTCCCCTCCGACGTTCTGGTTGGCCTGTGTGCAAGACGGGCAGGTGTGGTGGCCACTCACAGCGCTCGGTTTTCTGGTGACCGACACATTCGTTATAACCCTTGCTGCTACAACTTCCTATTCAGCTCTGCCAGAATGGGGGTGGGGATGATGGGCGTGGCCTGGCGGGATTTAGGGGCGGGGAAGGGGAGGAGCTGTGGCATGCTGGAGACATATTACAGTTTGGTAGTGTGCAAAACAATGACCTACCTGGATAAACTTTCTTTTCTGAATAACGACAAATCACAGGGCTAGAACAGTTGGGGATAGTTATGTGTATAAATTAAAATTCATCTGTTCTATTATTTAGTGCATAAAGTGTTTCTGTTACTCTAAAAGGCCTCAAATTTAAGGGGTAAGTTGGGGTAAGAATATATATATATATATATATTTTTTTTTTAGCAATGATGCAATAAATTTATCAAAAGTAACAGCACAGACATTTATAATGTTACTAATGAATTCTATTTCAAATTAATGCTGTTCTTTTGAACTTTACTCAGCAGCAAATCAGCATATTAGAATGATTTCTGAAGGATCATGTGACACTGAAGACTGGAGTAATGATGCTGAAAATTCAGCTTTGCTTCACAGGAATAAACTACATTTTTACATATATTCAAATAGAAAACAGTTATTTTAAATTGTAATATTATCTCATAATTTAAGTGTTTTTCTGTATTTTTAATCAAATAAATGAAGCCTTGGAGAGCATAAAGGATTTTTTCAAAAACATTGAAAAAATCTTACTATCCCAAACTTTTGAACAGTAGTGTACATCACATTACAGAAGTAAATTGGTAAATTGGTTCTTCTGTGTCATACGTACAACAGTGTTAGAAAAAAAGTGAGAGTGAACTATTTATTCCTTTGTTAGTAGAGAATGTAATGTTTCATAAATCATTAAAAATAAACGAGCAGATTACAGGTGATAGATTCACTCTCTCGTCTCTTTTACTGAATATATTCACAAATAAATGCCAAAGATGATATTATAATTGAGTGTTCATTAAAATGTTGTTTGTATTTGAATTTTGCATATATTGTCTCATTAGGCATTTAAAAGAGTCTGTTTGGCCCTCTAGTGTTAAGAGGAATTTACAGCTTCATCAACATATTGAGTGATTTACAATTCTAATAAATAAAACACGGTGTATATTTTAAATTAGCTTGTACAGGGTCTAAGTTTTGTGCACACCATCTAAATTAACGTGGACCAGCTAGAAACCATGTAAAACCAGATGCCACCATGATTCAGCTGGATTTTCTAATTGATATAAATGTTTGATATAGGAAGTTAATTGAAAACAAAATGTGAAAATGCAAGACACAAAACAGACGTTTAAGCATTTCAACAATTTTATTACAAAATGAGCACATACAAAAAGGATAATGTACAAGCGTTGAAATTAAACAAAATGAAACCAAAAACATTTTAGCGAGGCCACCTTTAAATTCATCATTAGTAGTAGTAGTAATAAATAAGGTACAAAAATTCCACCAAAAGAGAATTCTAACATTTTACACAGACTTTTTTTACTCGACCAGTTACGTACTAGCAGTCACACCAGCAGGAGGCGCTATTGCTTTAATATGAATAATAAATAGTCTATATTCTGCTAGAAAATCCGCTAGTGAAAAAACACCCACAGCAGGCGGCACCCCTGTCACTGGCACTTTTAGGACAACGTTATTATTAATGTCTTTTTTTTTTGTTTGTATTTCAAATGCAAGCAGCAGCAGCAAAAAAATCAATCCTCTAATATCATTAGTAGAACATCTGCACTAGTCTTTATTTTCTCTATGTAGCTGTATATTTCTATTTAGTCATGTATATATTCAAACCTGAGAAAAACATGCATTTTAAATCTGTTGTGCTTTATCATACTCTGTTAGTCCTGACCCTGCCATGAGACAGGGAGAAAGAGAGAGAAAGAGAGAGAGAGACTGGCAAAATAAACTTGGACGAACGAGGATTCACATGCCCTGGAGACCGTCTGAAAGCACTGACTGACAATAACAGAGATGAAGATTGAGAATAAAACAGAAATAGGCACAAGGAATGAGATATTGCAAAAAAATGGGCTAGTTCCAAAATCTAGTGAGCCTCCTATTTAGACTAGACAGCACCATATGCACACTTCCTATGCAGTGACTAAGATTACATGTACATTTAATAGAGAAGTTAATCCCAGAATGTACTGCGACAAGCTCCGCCACAAAAGCTGGTGGAGAATGCGGGCAAACAACTATAATCCATTCAGTACCCAAATATATTGATAAAAACAGTTCCATGCAATTAAAAATTGACTATTTAACCAATATGTGTGCATGCTACATATTTTTAAGTGTAGCGCTTTGTTAGCTTAGCAATACAAAAAAAAAAAAAAAAAAAAGATTTTTAAGTTGTAAATAATGCAGATTGATGCTTTACATCACATTTAAGTATGCTTTACAACAAAATCATATTTCAGTTTTTCTTAAATATTTAATGTTTAATTCAATATGCGACTTCTTGTTTCTTTCCCTAGAATTTTCTGAGTGAAAAACATTTCTTCACCCGTTCTTTTTTCCAGTGTATCTTAAATTCTGAGTCAGATCTCTTGTGCACTTGGTGTTAAATTGGTCACTTAAAAGGTTTCTTTTCAGTTAGTATGCTGCCTTAGAGGTGTAGGGCAGCACACTAGATTTCGAACACACCCTTAGAAAGTGAGAGAATGTAAACATTAACAATTTAAGACTGTTAAAGGCAGAAAAAAAGCATGAGGATGTAAACATTAACAAGAATAAAAGTCTTAAACACAGAGAGACAGACTATAGACAGACATGAGACAAGAAAGGGAAAGATCATGTAAACATTAACAATGTAAGAAAGACTTACAGAGAGAAGAGAAGAGAAAGAGAGAAAGATTGTGTTGCAAAGGCGCCAGAGTGGTAAAAACGATGCCAGTGAGAGGGTGGCCTTGGAAAACTAAGAGTGCAAACAGGACTGCGAATCAAAACCCATAATACTCCCACTCCGCTGCCGTGTCTGACCAATCAGCAAGCGGAATGTCAGTAAGGTCACAGCACCAAAGGGAGAAACACACGAACACGACCAACCGCATGCGAAGCATTCCCGCAAACCAACTCAAACATGAGGTAAGAGTTTTAATCATTTTGTGTTATTTCTAAATAAATAAAATATGATTCCATTGCAAAAAATGAAACTATACAAAATGAAATACGTACCCACAATATCTAGTTAGTAATAAATTATGATTGTTAAATACTTAAGGCATTTCAACGGACATAACCCTGTGTAAACGACCAACACGAGCCATCATCCGCCAATCAGCACACAGAACACTGGGGGGAGGAGTCAATGCACAGGAAAAAAATGCAGCTCATTAGCTGAAACTAATATAGCTTTTTTTTTTTTTTTTAATGGACTTTTAGGTCAAATTAAGCAAAACTAAACCAAAAATAAAATGTTTGCTTTATAGAGAAGGCAATTCCAGAATGCATTTTTACAAGCTCATTCAAAAAAATTGGTGGAGAATGCGGGCAATCATACATGTGTTTTTTTCCTCGTAATTATGAATTTATATATCACAATTCTGACTTTTTTTCTATAAATTTACATCTCTGTTTACATACCTGTAATAGTGAGTTTATACCTGACAATTCTAAATTTATGTCTTGCAAATCTGAATATTTTTTCTCAGAGTTGTGTGAAAAAAATTTCTGAATTATGAGATAAAAAGTTGCAATTACCATTTTAATTTTTCATCCTTTAGTGGAAACTTCCATAGTTAACTACTCATGTAGGGTAGATTGCAAGATTTTGAACACACTCTGAAACAGACAGTGAGAGAAATTGCCAAGTTTACATTTCAAGCTAAATTAAACCAGACATTTCAGGGAAAAGACTATCCATATAAAAAGAATATCCTTGTTGCAAGTTGTTAAAATTGAACTTAAAAACAGCTAAAGGCCAGAAACATACGCATTGCATAATGTGCATTACTGCAAACTTCAGTGCTCAAGGGGGCGACAGTGTTCAAACGTCTGCACCGTTAAACCAGATGTGCTATTGTTTGTGTAGCTAGCTGTAAATATGTCAACATATTAGCTAACTTTAACTTGCTCAGCAAGATTCTCGACATTTGAGCTGAAACAGAAAACTACCTGCATATGTTTCGGGCCAAATACAAATAATTCCTGCGTTGTGTTAATCCGTCTCGACCCACTTGTGTGCTGTTGGCGGATAGTCCTCTATCACACGACATTCTACATTGTAGTTCTAGCAATACAGCATAGCAACCAGCATAGCAACCACGAGGGGAGACCCGTCACACAAGAACACGGTTGGACACGCACAAGCCCCGCCCCCCTCCAAACACTTAATGTTTTAAATACCAATAATAAATACAGTAACCATGGCAGCGCAGCACCAGAGTGAGGCCGGGCACTTCAGCTATGCTCACATGTGCTTTTTTCAGTAGGCATTTAGGGTCAAAGGTCATGGCAGGGTCTCTCTCTCACGCACACGCGCACACACACACACACACACACACTCGCTACATGAGTCTGATAATGTTACGGATCTTCACAGCTTAAAGGAGCTAATACACATCCATGCATTCGCGCACGCACGCACACTTCCAGGTGTACCTTGAAACAACAACCCAAGCACAGATGCATGCAACTACTATTGCGCCTATCTACACAAATCCACCAATCACAACATTCTCTGCCTACTTTTTTTTTGTAAGACAACAGCCCTCCTCCTGCTGTCTCGGAAATGAGTTGCTTTTGTGTTTTCTTATTTTTTGTTGTTGTTGCGTGTTCTTTTTTGGCTTCTCTACATGCACCGCTAACCCATGAAAATATTAGCACACATACGATACACACGCACCAAAATGGTGAACAAGCGCACAAACGCAAGCTGAAGTAGCTCCAGTGTGTAAGACTAAAGCAATATTGCAGATCAGAAATACAGTGGACACACACACACACACTCCAGCAGCTAGATTTGACAGTGTCTTATCCGCCATTGTGTATATATTATAAGTAGTGTGTAAGTGTGGCACGTGTGTGTGTGTGTGTGTGTGTAGTGTCAGTTATTGTCATTGGCTCAGTAAAGCGAGTGAGTGTGTGTTGGATGGCTCATCATACACGTGTATAGGTAATATACAGTGTGTGTGTGTGGATGGAAATGTCTGTGGATGTATAAGAGCGAAAGAGAGCATGTGTGTGTTTAAGTTATTTGTTATTTCAGCTCTCGGAGGTGAGCTGTGTTTGGATGTCCACTCTGCAGATGGGACACTTCCTACTGGTGGCCAACCACTGATCCACACACACCTGATGGAACAAATGCATACAGGGTAACCGCCTGAAAACAGAAGAGACAGATAAATGGTTTATTAGGACAAGCGGAGCTACATTAGCATTCAGCATTTTGTATTTTGACATGCTCTGTTATTGTTGTGTTTAGTTGTGGGCATCCTGTATTATGTACTTTGCAGTGTTGTTATTGTTAAATAAAACTAAAGCTATTAAAAATAGATTTTGATATTAAAATAAAATGAATGAAAAAAGAATATCCCTTTGTAAGTTGTTAAAATTAATGTTTAAAACAACTACTTTAACTAAAACTATTAATTGAACTGAATTAAATAAAATATTAAATTATGATAAATTTAAAATATAAAAATAAAATCCAATTAAAAATATTAATAAATACTATTAATAAAACAATATATTTATATTTAAATAATACTTTGTAACATTTATAGTGTAATTTGGGGATGCAAACTTTTGTCAGTCTAAATACCTCTGGTGGTTTTAAGTTAATATCTTGATAATTGAACAACACATTTGCATGCAATTAATTATTAGCTTTTATATTAGCTTAAATAATGCTTTTGTTAAAAAGTTTGGGGTCAGTAAGTTTTTTTTTTTTTTAAGAAATGAATACTTTTCTTCAGCAAGGATCCATTAAATTGATCAAATGTGACAGAAAAGACATTTATAAATTAATGCTACAAAAGATTTCTATTTCAAATAAATGCTGTTTTTTTATTGTGGTTTCCACAAAAATATGAAGCAGCACAGCTGTTTTCAACATTGATAGTAATCAGAAATGTTTCTTGAGCAGCAAATCAGCATATTAGAATGATTTCTGAAGATCATGTGACACTGAAGACTGGAGTAAAGATGCTGAAAATTCATTAAATTCTTTGCATCACAGGAATAAATTACATTTTAACAAATTCAAATAGAAAACAGTAATTTTAAATTGTAATAATATGTCACAATATTACTGTATTTTTGATCAAATAAATGCAGCTTTGGTGTGCAGAAGATACTTCTTTCAAATACATTAAAACACCTTACTGCCCCTGGACTTGTGAATGTAAGTGTATAGTGTCATCTGTATTATACACTACCTGACATCTTCTCCATCCTCCAGCAGGGAGAGGCAGATGGTGCATTTCTCATCCACATCCAACTCTTCCTCACTCACACATAACTTCAGATCCAGCGGCTTCCGCTACACACACAAACAAACACAAACACCAGTGTGTTAGCAGCAGAAAACTGTAGGCTGGACTTGAAGATAAAAGTGTGAATGTGAACAGTGTGTGTATGTACCTTCTTGTATTTGTGCGGGAAGGTGAATCTCTCTATGGTGGTCTGTATGGCCCCTCGGCTGACGCTTCCCAATCGATCCTCCAACTGCAGCAGCTCCTGCACAAAATCAGTGTTAAATAGAGCAAAGCATGAACATATGTGAGTTACTGTTCATCTGTCTGTGTGCTTTACCTCATAACTCTCCCGAACAGCAGACGAGTGTCTGCTGGGACCAAAGCTCTGCAGCGCCAACAGGTGGAGCTGTGGATACGGATAATTCCTTATCTCATGGACAACCTGCAGAAAACACAGCATACATGATTAAAACACTTGAGGACCACATTCAACACTTGTGCTTACTATAAAAAAACATTTAAATAAAAAAGGAAAATTTATTAATAAAACAATGTTTTATATACACTATATATACACTACATATAATGTGTGTATGTGTGTGTGTGTGTGTGTGTATATATATATATATACACACACACACACACAATATACGTATATATAAGTGTATATATGTAAAACATTATTTAGAAGTTATATATATATATA